GCCAGATCATAGAGAAGAGGGCGACCCCCTCCATTGTATAGGAACCAAGTGTTTCCTGCGAGGAGGAGGAACCTTGCATCGGCTCCTGGCAGTCTGTGATTGGGTGCGCTGGTCTTTTATCGTTCTGCGTGAAAGCAACTCTATCGCCCAAATGTTACAATCTGACCATGAAATTGCTTCTTTCAGTCAGTATTGAAGTCGATTTAGTGCTCAGATGCAGTGCTGCTGATCTTAGGCTGCCACTTCCTGTCTACATGCACCATACAGGCCTGCTGCCCTGGATTTGCAGGGACAGTCCTGCATCTTGGCCTCTGCCCTGGATTTGCAGGGACAGTCCCGCATCTTGGCCCTCTGCCCTGGATTTGCAGGGACAGTCCCGCATCTTGGCCCTCTGCCCTGGATTTGCAGGGACAGTCCCGCATCTTGGCCCTCTGCCCTGGATTTGCAGGGACAGTCCCGCATCTTGGCCCTCTGCCCTGGATTTGCAGGGACAGTCCCGCATCTTGGCCCTCTGCCCTGGATTTGCAGGGACAGTCCCACATCTTGGCCAGCTGTCCCATTTGCAGGGACAGTCCAGCATCTTGGCCCTCCCCTGGATTTGCAGGGAGAGTCCCACATCTTGGCCAGCTGTCCCAGATTTGCAGGGACAGTCCCACATCTTGGCCTTCTGTCCTGGATTTGCAGGGACAGTCCCACATCTTGGCCCTCTGTCCTGGATTTGCAGGGACAGTCCCACATCTTGGCCCTGCTGATGATGTGTCCGGGGCCATGTCCTGGGATCACCGCATCAGCCTTACGCTTGTTACTGCACATGCTCAGTGACTCAGAATGGCATTACTTGCCAGGTCCGAGGCTGCGAGTAGACGGTCCAAATATATATAGAGGTGGAGTCCGGGTGGGACCAACCCATAAAGGGGGTGATGGGTGGGTGGGCCACACTCATTTAGGAGCAGCGGCTGGGCAGGACCGACCCATGATTTTGGCACGCCCACTCTGAAAGAATGCAGGCTGTGGGCGGGATTAGTCTCCTTTTGACACCTAAAGTGTTTCGCGAACGTGCGCAAAATCACACATTTCATAAACATTTGCTGCGTCAGCAATACCATTCACTGTTAGTGGCACCCTACACGGGGCAAGCAGACGCATGGAAAAATGCGCGGTCAAACCACGTGGTTGAAAAAAAAAAAATGCTAAATTCTCAGAAACTTGCATGAGTTACTTTGGTGCGCATAGGACAGGCCCTTGAAATGAACCGACTACCCTATTCCAGCATGGAAAGGCGCACGGAGTGTGCGGATACGCAATGCCCGCCAGCGCCTGGAATGTGTGAATCTGGTTCCGGGACACTGGTTGACAAGTATGCATTGCCCTGCAGTGATGGCCAGGGCTGCTGTTAGAAACCATGGGGCCCCAAACAGCAAACCTGACAGGGCATCCCCCCTCTCCCCCCCCAAAAAAAACCCCCCCAGTTTACTATGCTTCAGTTGTGAATGAAACACAGTGAATGATCAGTACTGATTATTTATTGTTTTCATCATCCTGAAGGATCCTATTGTGTGCTTGCAGTTACCGGTGGAAGGGAACTCAGGGGCAATGGGGGGGTGGGCACACGCAGAGGGATCTGGGCAACCATATAGGAGGATGATGGGTGCTGGGGGGGGGGGGCAGTTACTAGAACCGATCCTCTGTGTGGCTCTCAAGGCTGCTGTTAGAAACCATGAGGCCTCATACAGCAAACTTGACAGGGCCCCCCTCCCTCCCAAACCCCCCCACAGTTTACTATGCTTCAGTTGTGAATTAACACAGTGAGTGATCGATGCTGATTATTTATTTTGTTCATCGTCCTGAAGGATCCTATTGTGTGCTTGCAGTTACCGGTGGGAGGGAGCCCGAGGGCAATAGGGGGGGTGGGCACACACAGAGGGACCTAAGCAATCATATGGGAGGATGATGGGTGATGGGGGGGGGGCAATTACTGGAACCGATCCCCTGTATGGTTCTCTCTGCAGCAGCTGAACACCAGCAGTAGAGAGGAGGAGAAGCCAGGAGCAATGAGAGGTGGGCACGCACAGAGGGACCTGGGCAACCATATGGTGCACAGGGAGGGTGATGGGGGGGGGGGGGGCAATTTCTGGAACCATCCCCTGTGTGGTTCTCTCTGCAGCAGCTAAACACCAGCAGGAGGGGGAGGAGGAGAAGCCAGTCTTCAGCTGCTGCACAGGGAACCATACAGGGGATCAGTTCCAGTAATTGCACTCCCACCATGCCGATCACTTTCCCTACTCACATCCTATTTGCTCAGGAAGGGCCCCCTGCTGGCCTGGGCCCCCGTACAGGAGGACTGGTGGTACCCCCTTATCCACGTCCCTGGCGATGGCTACGTGCCATGTCTCAGGATGGGTTACCTGATGGTGACAACCATGGACCAGGTCTGCTGAAAACACCACTTGTAGTCTCCATCAGAAGCCCATGTGGCAGGGCGACCACTCAGGAGCACAGCTGGGAGACGGGGACAGAGCGTTGTCACCTTGTTACAGGAAGTGCCTGAACAAGGACCTCCATGGTAGGATCATCAGGGACTGTTTACAATGAAAGCGGATATAACAAATATTATATTTTGAAACAAACTTGTTACACGAGACTTCAGTGATCTGCGTTTTACATCAACCTGTGATGGCGGCGACTGGAACCGCTCCTCCCCCATCACATTATTATTATACAGGATTTATATGGCACCAACAGCGTGTGCAGCGCAGTACAAGATGAAGGGAGACATTACAATGCGATTTGGTACAAGAGGAATCCGAGGGCCCTGGTCCTGTGAGCTTACAATCTAAGAGATATGGCGCAGCGAATACGGTCAGCGGCTGGAATGTCCGTAATGATTCGGTCTCTGCGATTCGTCGAGGTCGGTCTCTGGAACGGGATCGCGATTCGTCGGGGTCGGTCTCTGGAACGGGGGTCGGTCTCTGGATCGCGATTCGTCGGGGAACGGGATCGGTCGTCTGGAACGGGATCGCGATTCGTCGGGGTCGGTCTCTGGAAACGGGATCGCGATTCGTCGGGGTCGGTCTCTGGAACGGGATCGCGATTCGTCGGGGTCGGTCTGCGCGACCCGGTCTCTGGATGACGTCTCGGTCTATTCCCGTGTCCCCACCTGAGTCTCTCTGGAATCTTCGTGAAATAGGGGTCAAGGGATGGCTCATTTGCATAGCGATCCTCCTCCGACGTCTGGCATGCAAAAATGGCAGTCATGTGTCCTCCTCCGGCTGGCATCAGAGAAGAGAACATTTCCATATTTGGTGTCGGGCAGGAATTGCCGAGTGCGGGGAATTTGGGACGCTCTGCGAAGGTTCCGGTATATTTACATTTCATTTACTGCATGGACTTAGGATGGCTTCATGGCTGCTGTGTCCATGGAGATGGGAAGGGGATGACTGGGGGAGGTAAAGGGTCACTCCACCTGGAACTGAAATTTCACTGTTTTTTTTTTAGGTTCTCTAGACCATTGATCTCCAAACTATGGCCCAGGGGCCAGATGCTGCCCTTTGCTTCCAATTATCTGGCTCTTGGGACCCTATTCTTCCCACTGACACCAACAATTGGGAACTATTCCATCAACTGACAATAATGAGCAGGAAACAGGGACAGAACACTCGGAGCAGGGGATGGGGACGGAATGCTCGGAGCAGGGGGGGATGGGGACGGAATGCTCGGAGCAGGGGATGGGGACGGAATGCTCGGAGCAGGGGATGGGGACGGAATGCTCGGAGCAGGGGATGGGGACGGAATGCTCGGAGCAGGGGGGGATGGGGACAAGATGGCGATGGGGACAAGATGCTCGGGAGCAGGGGATGGGGACGGAATGCTCGGAGATGGGACGGGGATGGGACGCTGGGAGCAGGGGACGAGACGTGGGAGCAGGGGGGGACAGGACGCTGGGAGCAGGGGACAGGGACAGGAAACAGACGGGAGCAGGGGACGGGGACAGGGGGGGACACTGGGGGGACGGGACACACTGGGAGCTGGGGACGAGAGACTGGGGACGGGACGCTGGGAGCAGGGGGCTGGAGCGGGACGCTGGGAGCAGGGGGGTCGGGACGCTGGGAGCAGGGACGGGGACGGGAGGGGAGCGGGGTCGGGACGCTGGGAGCAGGGGACGGGGTCGGGACGCTGGGAGCAGGGGACGGGGACGGGACGCTGGGAGCAGAGGACAGGACGCTGGGAGCAGGGGACGGGGTCGGGACGCTGGGAGCAGGGGATGGGACGCTGGGAGCAGGGGACGGGGTCGGGACGCTGGGAGCAGGGGACGGGGGTCGGGACGCTGGGAGCAGGGGACGGGGACGGGACGCTGGGAGCAGGGGACGGGGTCGGGACGCTGGGAGCAGGGGACGGGGTCGGGACGCTGGGAGCAGGGGACGGGGTCGGGACGCTGGGAGCAGGGGACGGGGTCGGGACGCTCGGAGCAGGGGACGGGGTCGGGACGCTCGGAGCAGGGACGGGTCGGGACGCTCGGAGCAGGGGACGGGACGCTGGGAGCAGGGGACGGGGACGGGACGCTGGGAGCAGGGGACGGGGACGGGACGCTGGGAGCAGGGGACAGGGACGGGACGCTCGGAGCAGGGGACGGGGTGTACCTAGTCTGACCACGTCGTCCATTTCACGACATGGCTGAGCGGAGTTCACAGTAGTACAGAAGGAGCTGCCATTGTGTTGGGATCAAGAAGTTCCGGACACAAGGAAATCCTCTCACTTCCTGTTGTGCCTCTGGGACAGGAAGTGAAGAGAATTCCCCCCAATGGAACACAAACTGAAAAATGATAGTACCCGACAAGGGTCCTGGACCAATTCCATTTTACTTGAAAGTAAAAAAAAAAAAAAGAGATTTTGCTTGACATTCACTTTATCGTGTGGAGTTTCAGTACACGTCCTCTATAGAATGTAGAACATAATCTGTCCTCTTCTGGCATCTTCTGGCCGGGTTCTGATCTCTCTTCTCTCTCTTCTCAGGCTCCTTCCGGAACGATGGACTGAAAGCTACTGACGTCCTGCCCACCCTGAAGGAGAAGGTGGCCTTTGTGTCAGGTATGGTGGCTGGTGTCAGGTATGGGGGCCTTTGTGTCAGGTATGGTGGCCTTTGTGTCATGCGCTATGTTTGCCGGTGTCAGTTTTATTGGGGCGGAGGATCAGATATGGTGGCTGGTGCATGGTATGGTGACCTTTGCGTCAGACGGCGCATTGGTGTCCGAGTGACAACCCGCATGATGCGTGCAAACCCATTGGTGTCCGAGTGCAAACCCATAACAGCCCAGCCCCAGTGCATCCACATCAGACTCAGACCAGCCCCAATGCATCCACATCAGGCCCAATGCTCAGACCAGCCCCAATGCATCCACGTCAGACCTCAGATCAGCCCCAATGCATCCACGTCAGACCTCAGATCAGCCCCAATGCATCCACGTCAGACATCAGACCAGCACCAATGCATCCACGTCAGACCTCAGATCAGCCCCATGCATCCACGTCAGACCTCAGACCAGCCCCAATGCATCCACGTCAGACCTCAGATCAGCCCCAATGCATCCACGTCAGACCTCAGACCAGCCTCAATGCATTCACATCAGACCTCAGACCAGCCTCAATGCATCACCCATCAGACCTCAGACCAGCCCCAATGCATCCACATCAGACCTCAGATCAGCCCCAATGCATTCACATCAGACCTCAGATCAGCCCCAATGCATCCACATCAGACCTCAGATCAGCCTCAATGCATGCACATACCCTGACCCCGCCGCTCTCTGGCCCTCCCTACCCTGACCCCCCCTGACCCCGCCGCTCTCTGGCCCTCCCTACCCTGACCCCGCCGCTCTCTGGCCCTCCCTACCCTGACCCCGCCGCTCTCTGGCCCTCCCTACCCTGACCCCGCCGCTCTCTGGCCCTCCCTACCCTGACCCCGCCGCTCTCTCTGGCCCTCCCTACCCTGACCCCGCCGCTCTCTGGCCCTCCCTACCCTGACCCCCCCTCCCCAGCCGCTCTCTGGCCCTCCCTACCCTGACCCCGCCGCTCTCTGGCCTTTCCTATCCTGATCCTCACTCTCTGACCCTCCCTTCATAGAACCTCTCGCATCCCTGTGTTTCCTCATTGACCCCATTTGGCTCCTCCAATCAAATCTGCTGCCTTTGGTAACTCCTCCATGGTGGGTGGCTGCACCCATGGGGTCTTCTCCATCCTTGTGAGTGGGCGATGTCTGAAGAGTAGAGTGGTTATGAGCGGCGAGTCTGATTAACACACCTTTAATAATTCAGAAAATATTGTAGTGATGGAAATTTTAATACAGAAGGAATTATTTTGCCGCCCTTTATAGATGGAGCAAAATATTTAAAAAAAAAATCTAAAAAAAATATTAAAACTCCCCCCAAAATATAAAAAAAATATACATTTTCAAATATATACAAATATAAATATTACAAAACCCAAAATATTCACAAAAACAAACCAACTTCACCACGTGTGCCGAGTACGGGAACCAAACCAGCACCCTGAATCAAATGCTGCAAATATTGGATGAAAAAATGGAAAAATAACTATTATAAATGACACGACACAAACATACAACACCCCACAGATATAATCCACGGATTAAAAACGTACAATCCCTCCCCTCCCCCACAGAACAAGAGTATCAACAAGGCACCAGTCCCTGTATAATGTCCTCATCCATCAGGAGTTCAACTAGAGCCGCGGGTGACACCGACCCGACTCCGTATACAGAATGTGTGTATTGTGATAAACCCACAGAGTACAATGTATAGAAATATCCGCGAGTGATACAAAGTATACAAATAGGATATTAAATATCAAACTATTACAATAATAATATATCACCGACCACCAACATCGCCTAATAACCCCCTCAAAAGTAATGCGACAATATTGTACATACTGTATAGAGAATAAAAACTAAACCGACAAATAAAAACACAATTTATATTTTTTTTATCAGCAAATCCCAAAAAATTAATTTTTTGTGTTTTCATTTAATTATTTGTTTAATTTGGTTTTTGAGGGTTTTTTGAATATATACACCGTGTTCCAAATGATTCTGCAGATGATATTTTCCTCATTTCCCTCAATAATTGATGTAAATATCAGTCGGCAGAATTCTCAGGTGACAACTAGAAGAGGACAATTCACATTTTATTGAACAAACCTCCTAATGATAACAGGATTTGTGTTCCGGATTATTCCGCACAGGAAGTTTCCAAACACTTTCTAGGTTGTAAAGAACTGAAAATTGTCATTTGTTGTGTTTGCAGCAAATTTACTGAAATCAAAAGCTATTTCAATCCAACTTTTCCCAACATTGTAACTTTGTAACCATTTGAAGCGGTCACGTTACATTGTAACATAGGAGCCCTTATCTGATAGCAGATCACAAGTCTGGCATCCATTGAACTTGGCAGTTTTTGGACAGTTTCTGCTGGAATTTGTTTGCAAGATGTCAGAATAGCCTCCCAGAGCTGCTGTTTGGATGTAAACTGCCTCCCCCCCTCATAGATCTTTTGCTTGAGGATGCTCCAAA